TTTATGGAACCAGGTTCAATATAGTTTATTATAATTTTATTCAGGGAGAAATCACTTACAGAAGAAACAGATGACGCCTCAGGTTCATACTCCAAGGTACCACACAAGCACGCTCAGGGACCTGACCAAACAGAACCCCAGACCTAGCCCTCCCCTCCCTTATGTCCTCACCTGTGACAACGCCCTCTTGGGCATCTTCAGTGCAAGAGATGCTGCGGGTGGGGGAGGGTATAGAAATCTCACTACAGGGTGTTATATTCGAGGAAAGGAAGATAAAGAACATTGATATACTAGAGAAAAGAGGAATAATGGGACAAGAAGCTTTAATTAGGCTGGGGTGATAGAGAAAATAAAGGTAGGAATAACTAACGTTGTATAGTATGCCTTGGACCAGCACTCTTCACTAATAAAGTGAATAGATGGGCATATATACTGTGTTCTATTTATTATTATTTAATCAGTTATTTATTTTTAAATTTTAGTGTACATTCCAACCAACATTCTCCCTCAGACACCTCCTTCTGCCCCCCTCACACCTCTCCAACCCACTCCCCATCCACTACTCTCAACAGGTAAGGAATACCACGGGGAGTCCACAAAGTCTGGCACATTACTTTTAGCCAGATCCAAGCCCTTCCCCACTACATTAAGGCTGAGTACGCCTTAATGTAGGTATTGAGTGCCCACAAGCTATCTCATGCACCAGAGATGGATCCTGGTCCTACTGCCAGGGTTCCCTCAGGAGGCAGGCAAGCTTCACAAACATCTTCTATATACAGAGGAAGGGCCTGGTTTGGTCCCATGAAGGCTCCACGGTTATCGGTCCAGAGTTGATGAATTCCTACAAGCCTGGTTCAGCTGTCTCTGTAGAGTTCTCCATGGTGATCTTGAAATCATGCTCATGTATTCCCTTCTCCCTTAATTGTTGAGAGGAGTGGATGTAGGGTGGGCTGGGGAGGGAGGCCTGAGGGAGATGGGAGGAAGGTTGGGAGTGAGAATTTTGGATGGATTGTAAAATGAAAGTAAAAAACAAAACAGACAAAAAAAGGGGATTAGCCTGAGGGATAAGTCTTGCACAGTGGCAAAAATCAGACCCCTTTTTATTGCAAAAAAAAAAAAAGGAATAATAATTATCTGTGATAAACTGTGTTTCAAGGGGATTATTTTATTGGCTCATTAAGGTAATTTTGAATGAAATCAATATATATATATTTTGAAACATGAAAATATAATAAAAAGTTTATATCTTTTATAAAGCGTGAAAAATGCAAATTATTTAGCCAGACAGCAGTAAACAAAATTCTAAATGAAGATGTATTTTGGCCAAATGAGGTAAATAATATGTATAGAACAGACATATTTTATAGCTGATATAAATTATGTTCTTTTCCACAGGATTTATTTCATGGTAATACCTTCTCTGTAATTCATAACAATAATTTCTCAAATAAAGATATCTACCATGATATATTTGTTTATATTTTGGTGGTTAAACAATGTTGTCTTCAATCCAAGAATATTGATGTTTGTGGTAATCTCACAAACTACAAATCTAGTTATGTTTTCCTTAGGAAGTTTAGCCTAATGAACTAACATTTATTTATTGTTGAAAACTTTCTCACTTTCACATTAGCATTCAAGGCTAATATCATCATAGAAAATTGTTTGAGAGATATTATTTTTTGTACTAGAGCTCCCAGCTTAATTTCTGAATTATAATAAGTTTATATCCTGAAGTTTATGAGTGTTAATTTGTGGTGTAAAAAAAAGAGGAAAGAAGGTGAGGATCATCAAACACAAAGTTACAGACAACCAATGAGCACTAGAAAGAATACAAATGATCTTTTTGCCTCTTCTTTTTTTTCCCACCAAAGAGTAAAACAGTGCCTAAACCAAATATCAGCTATTCTATCATTCTTGACTAATAAAAATTTGGCAACATGCAGGACCACTGATTGCTCTTTAATAATAGATAGTATATAGGTGAAAGAAGATTTAAGTTGCTGTGTGGTCTTCTGGTCTTCTTGCCTTTACAACAATGTACTTACAGCAAGGTAGCATCACCGTGGTTATCTTAAGGACATAAAGTCAAACTCGTAGGAAACAATTTTATTCATAAGCCCATTAAGATGTGTTTATTGTGTAAATTCAAATAATAATTACAGTCAACAGAAACAAAGATGGAATATAGAGCTGGGGAATTTGATATCTCATCAACCAGGTATATGAAAGTTAGTGAGTCTTAAAATCCACTGAATCAATCATGATATGAAAAAATAAGTAGGTATTGACACATTAAGTTATCATATTTCACTTTTGTGACTTGATTCTTCATTTTAATTGAATTAAATAGTACACAGAAACATACTTCATGTAAAATGATGTTTATGTGTTTACTTCCATGTTTGTTAATATTTCTTAAATATACTCATTTCCTTTGGGAAAATATCAAATATCTGATAAGAGTAAATGAAGAAAAGGGTTTTTGTGAGCTCACAGTTTCCTGAAGTACATCCCGTCATATTGTGAAGGCTCAGCAGCTGGACTGGATTGTATGAGACAGCTAAAGCTGGCCACATGACTCATTCCATAAGAATTTAGGATAAAGAAAGGAGTTCTTGAACAAAATAGCTTTCTGATTTTCTTCCTTCTAATCTGTCCTGGCTTCTGTCTCATAGTATGCCTACTCATGCACAGTGTGTGTCTTCCATTCTCTAGAAATCCCATCATGGACCTATTCACACGTGGCTCTTTTAGGTGACACTGAACCCTGTCAACTTAAAAAGAAGATTAGCAGTCACATTAGCTCATAATTATTTGCCCATGATATTAACCTAGTGATGGAAACAGAAATGCTGATTACAGCATTTCTTGAGAAGTAACCTTAAATCTTCATAGAGGACAAAGCTGAAGGTCCTGAGTTATCTCACCAGAGTTTCAATTATATCCCATCCTTTAACTCTAAGTTCCACTTCAGGTTTCTCAAGGTTAAATTTTATACATTAGTAGTAATTAATACATAAAGTTATTGAGAGAATTGAATTAAAGAATATACACAAAGAACTGAAAAGTATCAAATCATATAAGCTTATACAATACTGTCAATCTTATACCATATAATTTCATACAATACCATATACTTACAATATTTATATATATATATCTCTAAGGTCTTAATGATGATAAATTGAATATACCTTTTCAGAGCTATAAGAAGTGCTGTGTTCACTTGTTATTAAAATTATGAATGTTTACTGATTGCACAAGTTCCAAGTGAACAAATATATGCTATCAAAGAAAAATTATTTATTAATTCCTCCTTTGGAGTATAACCATATGAATATACAGTTATCAATCTTTCTGAATACAAAATGACAATAGAGGAGTTTGTAGAAAATTCCAGACTTCAAATAAGGAAAACATATGTGGTGTACAAAGTATCCCAAATGAATCAAACAAACTCCAGAAACATTCTAATACTAAGAAAACACAAAGTATAAAATTTAAGAAAGAACAGATCAAAATGAGATCAAGTGTGAATGCTGGAGAAAAGCTGTTGATTATATGAAAATAATTTGTCTCAGCTTCTGTAGGATGATACATTGATTTCTTTCAATTCTAATCTCAAGAGGAAGCAGAATCACCTTCACTAATCCTATTATCATTGCCAGTTCTCATTACAACTACTAATCAGATATTAATGAGCATTTAAAACAATCATTAACCCACTGAGAATACATCTGTATGATTCTAAACTAATTAGATGTTGAAAGTTATGAAAGAAGTTATGAAAGAAGACAAAATGTGAACCTTTATCTTTCAGAAACAACTTAGGCAAACAATTTCCGTAATGACCTTTGAAAATTTAGGTAATAGCATGTTGCAGAAAAAATCTATCTGATCTATTTTTACTTTCTTATTATTGGCATATGTTCAGTGTGTAAAACAATGTGTGTCTTTATATCACTTTGATCTATTTTTCTCATATTTCACTCTCCAAATTCTCTGTATTTTTCTCCATACTCCAAAATATTCACTCTCACTTAGTCAAAACCAATCACAGAGTATTAGGGAAAAAGATGGTTCCACATTCCTTAACAGTATTGCACACATTAATTATGACATTTTATGTGGACAAAACATTGGAGGACGACAATGTACATGTGGAAATAACTGGATATCTTACTTGTCAGCATCACAGTCTGACAAAATCAAGACTGGTAAAGGCTTGCATTCATGCTGAGATATAGCTCTAGGATTATTAAGGCAAAGAATGGGAAAACATCACTGTATTAACACTACAGTAATGGACAAGACATATGGTTTTGAAATTAAGGAATTTAGTCATCTAATTGCATTTAATGGTTTGTCTCTCTCCAGACCTATTGTGAGTCATGATTTTATTATTCCTTTAATGACCCATACATCAGTATTGATTGTAAGTTTCATACTTGTTGATGGTATATAAACATGCCACTAGTAAGTTATAAATAACAGATTTATTAACTATGATTAAGCCATGTATGACTTCATTGTGCATTGGGGTGCTTATAATTCTTATTTTGGTCTAATTCGATAAACTGAAAAATCTTAATATGGGAACATTTCTCTTTAATTCTTTATTACAATATAATGTTTTTTAGGATGTGGTTGCTTTCATTTAACTTTTACTTTATAACCTAGACCACCAATTTTATTTTAATTTTGTCTGGGTAATATCTGTGTGGCATATGCATGTGTGTGCTGGTGCCCAGGGATATCAGATACCTCTGGAACTAGAGTTGTATGCAGCTGTGAGCCATGTGACATGGTTGGTGGGAACCACACCCATGTTTTTTCTCCCTCCCTCCCTCCCTCCCTCCCCCCTCCCTCCCTCCCTCCCCCCCCCCCTCCCTCCCTCCCTCCCTCCCTCCCTCCCTCCCTCCCTCTCTCTCTCTCTCTCTCTCTGTACTTGTAATGATGGAAACCACAATATACCCAGAAGCAAAGCTTTGGATAAATCATTTGTTCTTCCCTGTCTTGTATCGTTTCTCAAACTTGACCTTGGCTTCCTTCCTTGCCTCGCATTTCAGGGCTGGGTCTCTAAAGACATCCTTGTTGACAACAGTTTTGTCCAAGGGGATGTTCACAGAGTACCTCGTGGGCATGAGGTGATTGTAGTTATAAACTTTCCAAAAAGACTTGATCTTTGGTAGTTTGGCGATTATCTTCTTGCCTGTGGCAGCTGTCTCTTTCGGGGAATAGTGGTCAATTCCAGCCACCAGGGCATGGCTAGAAGGGCTGTAAGTGCCATCATTAATGTTCTTCATGATGACGGCTTTGCGTCCGGAGTAGCTTCTATCCAGGACAAGCACCACTTTCCCAGGTTTCATGAACTTGCCCATTTCAACAGCAAGTAGCCAGTTCCCAGCAGAAAGGACACTTCCGCTAACCTTTCACCCTGCAGAGCCCCGAGATTCCGTCTTGAAAATAAAATTCAATCTCTGTGAATGTTTCTTTCTCTGGCTATAATTTACAGTTAAGCTTTCTACTTCACTAGGATAATATGGCTGATTGGAATTACCTTAGCATATACAATCAACATCATTGTCCTGACTAGTGTCTATGAGAGGAGAAAAATCTTGAAAATGTCACAACCAGCTGTGGATTCTGTCAACTCTGGAACACCTGGAGCACAGCACTGACTGTGACCCTAGATACCTGAGTTACAGTGCTGCGTCCTGATGGAATTGACTTCTATCAGTTTTAAATTCCTAAAATGTGCTTAATTTTTTAAGCATAATGGTTAGACTCCAATTTTCTTATCCATTTAGAATTTATAATTGAAGAGTGATATACCTTCTTTGAAAACGTAAGGAATGAAATTCAAGACAACTAACAGTGATGCTAAAAGTAAGCTCCTGCAGCATAGGTTGTAGATTTACTTCGGTATGAACTTTATCTGATGTAGTCTGCTTCAAATTGCTAAGAATAAATTATTTCTTTTGGCATGGCCATGTAAAGAACAATGATACTATAAAATTCTTTAAAGCTCTGATTTGGAGGATTTCTCAAGGTCAGAAGTTTAGAATTGATCATTATAGAGAGTTCCTAAAAGACTAAGAGTACTACTGAAGCTAATGCTCTGGCAGACAATTGGTTTATACAGGCATTTGTATTTAGAAATGAGAACAGCAACAGAAAAATTAAATAACTCAGACTGTGAAGAAATGATCTTTGATATAAGGAGAATGATATCAGTAAAAGCAAAACAATGAAATGTGAATTATTAAGATAATTTGTCGAATATAGACTTCTAATAAAATGCTATGGTTTTCAATCAAGAGGTTCAGTGAGCACAAAAAGAAAGGCTCTCATTTTAGAGAATAAATGCTTGAGCTATTATTAACACTGATGAGTTTGAGTCCCTCTCCATCCAAGAGAGTAAGATTTTTTCCTCTATATGTGGCCCTGAAATTCTAGCTTTTTTTGTTTTAAATAAAAGGAATGAAAATTAAATAAACTAATTATATAAAAATAACAAAGTACTGCATAGGAATAATTTAGAAAATAGAAATCATTAAGAGCTGATTACAGAAAATTCACATGAAATGTTTTTTTATACAGAACATCAAAACCCTCATCCCTATCACTTGGGCAAGGAAAAGCTATGGTAAACAACTGATATCCCATAGACTCTGTCCTTATTCTTGTCTGTCTGTGTAAGTGGGCTTTTCCCACCTCCGATTGCTTTTCCTTGCTTACCTCTGTTCTATTGACTGATTGTTTAAGGATTTTCTTTGATTTGTCATTTGCATAATGCTTATTGTTGTGGCCTCCAAGTATTATCTAATATCAGCAAACACCATTCAAAATTAGAGGACTCCTGAAGAGAGATTACCGCATCCAATTTGACTTATGAATAATAAGATGAATGAAGTTCATAGTAATAATACTGAAAATTGAATTCCATTATAAATATTTAATAAAGGATTTGATAATCAATCAAACTCTACTTAATTTGTGTGACTAAATATTTCCTCTTTATTGGGCATTACATAAAAAGAGTAAACAGTGAATTAGACATTCAAGTATTTGCTGAATCGATCTTGGTTTCTTTCTTGGTGAAACATTTTCCAAGAACTTAAAAGAAAAATTTACCAACATATATATATATATATATATATATATATATATATGTATATATATATATATTCATTTACCAACATATATATATATATATATATATATATTCATTCTACCAAATTGGGAGAGTGTATTAACATTTTGAGAATTAAAGAAGAAAAAACAATAAAAGGCTTAGAATAATACCCAGAGATTAAGTGCTAATGAATTTTAGCTATAATAAGTTATTAAGAAGCCTCTGTGAGTATATTTCAATACCATTATGTTGTTTCTTTTTAATGACCATATTTTCAATCAATTTATTTATCCTATTCTTTTTTCTGACAATAGTGGCCATTGTATCCATCCACACCTTGTCTGGGGCTTTCAAAGCACGGGTGCCCTGGAACTACAAAATTTCATAGCATTATTTTATATTTTTTTCTCTATTCTCAGAGTAAATTTGGCTCATATCATGGAGTAATAATCATGACATAGATTGATATTTTACTTTGAAATTTCCTCTGCCAAGTAAAGGTCACTCTCACCTAAATTTTCATGGAAAGAGAAAGCCTAGTCAGAGTGTTTGCCAGAACATAACAGAAATGCTTCCTGGTGCAATTTTTGATCTATTTCTTCTTCATCCTTAAAACATGATACACTAGCAGTACATATAACCTTCAAAATCCATACCTCTTAAAGTATCCAGTGGTCCCCAAACTACCCAAAATAGCTTTTCTTCAGCTAGAGACCATGTGTTCAAAGCATAGGGCACACCGTAAGACATCCCCAATTCCAACAGTGGTCCATCCATGGGCATCCCATATTGTCAACTTATCTTCTCTGTCTTCCTTATGTCTCAGACAAGTTTTCTTTTTTCTTTGTAAGAGTTTTCTTTTAATATTTATTAACATGTTAGTATTTACAATTGCTACTACCTTTTTAATCTGCTGTGATGCAGAACGATTACTCTTGATCAGTTGTCAGAAATATCAGAAGATTAGGCTTTATTTCTCAAAAACTAACACATAAAAAGGCACTGGAATGGAGCTGATTGGATCTTAGTACTTGAGGCCAGATTGATCAAATACTGATCATTCAGCACATAGTAATTCTGAGAATTTCTGTACATTCTTAGTCTTATAGTGGGTGCTTGTGTGCCAATTTCCATACTGAACAGAATTGTGAATTTGTTGGCTTAAAGGACACCACAGGGGCAAGAATATGATATGTCCAAATCTACCAGGATTAGGGTATCATTAAGATCAGGTATTTTTCTTAAGTACGTTTTTCCAATTATACAGGTTACTGGTTAATTGTTATCATTTTGAAAAGTTGTCTTGGATAACTTTGACTTTATTTAGATTGGTGTAACAGAAAGATACTACTTATTCAATGTACTACTGACACCAGATATTGTGGTTAAATAAGGATCAGGATAAACAAATAGGCCAAATAGATGTTTATTCAGGGAGAAATAACTTAAAACCTAGACAGATGAACACCAGGAAATTCCACCCGATGCTCTCCTGTCCAAGTCCCGCCAAGAAGAGAGATTTTCCCAGCTCTTCCTCCGACCTCCTTCCACAGGTCACTTCCGCCCATGGCTTCATCCCCCCAATGGGCGTGGTCAGTGCCACAGAAGGACTATCTCACTACAATACTATGTTTCCTTATTAATGTAAATACTTATTTTGTAATACTAGAGATTGAGCCACAAACCTTACACAGCTATGTAAATGTTCTGCCACTGATACACATACTTAGTCATTTTTTATGGTTCTTTAGTCCAATCTATAAGCATTATCTATATTTCATTTTCAAAGCACAATATAACTCGTAATCACACGAATGTGAAATAAAGAAGTAGTATTTTTATAGTTATATTAACAAAGAACCCAAGGACAAAAGAATGCACATGACCATTAACCCAGGGGTCAATGTAAAATCTGCTGTAAAATGGATATATCTCCATTCTCTTCAGAGTTATCTATAATTTCCTATAATTGTAACACATAGTTCTTGTTACATTTTAAAAGTTCTAATTTCTGCCAACTGCCTTAAATGTGACTTTATAAATATATGACAAAATAAATGCCTGCTAAATAGATGTAAATTTTGTCATTGTTTTATGCTCAGGTTCCCCATTTTTGTTGTCTTTAAATATTAAAAATGCACTTTCATATTTGTAGCCATCTGATTCTAAGTCCTTTTTGTAATTTTCTATTTTAGAACTCCCAATAAAACTAAATTTAAATAATGTTTGCCAGAGTCACATCCTCTCCAGAGATATTACTAAAGGTTGCTGGTATCAGTAGCTATATTAGACAGAGCCCAAGCCCTTTCAGCATCTCTGGCAGTGACCTTTCAGGTATGTGTATATACAGATCTATTAATTTAATATTTTTCTCACTTATATTTGTTTTAACTGTCTGTTACTATTTTCTCAGCTCAACTACAGATTAAATTCTGACTGTTACTTGTGCTTTGGTAAACAGGTATCTAATGAGTTTACTTTACAATTTACAATTTGTTGTTAAAAGTTCAAAAAATCATATATAATGTAACCTTCTGAGTTGCTTTGTTTTCTCACATTTAAATTAAAATACGTTATTTTGAATAACTTTCATCTCTAAAATTTAAACATTTCACTTACGGTTATACATATAAAGTTGTGTTGATCATAATAAAGAGATATTTCGAGTATCAACTTCCTTGCCTTGGGTCAAGAGTGCTTTGAAAAGGAATGGGAGATAATGGAGCTTTTGTAGTTTTAAAATAAGCATACAAGAAAATTAGTATCTTTATCATGTCTTTATATTTTCATATGTATTTTGCTCATATTCATATCCTATAATTCTTATTAAATGCTATCATAGGGGATTTTCTATTTTGATCAGATGGAGATTTTGTGATGTAGCATGAGCAATAGTGTTCTTTTATGAATACTTTAGTATCTTTAAAAATCAGTTCATGCAAAATAGCTACATCTTTCTACTTATAACCGCATTGGAAGAGTGTCAGTGTTTTCCTTATACATGCACAATGTATCTTGCAAATATGTGTGCAATTGTTGAAATATTTCCAAAATCAAGAGTTTCAACCCAAGTCAACTTCAAACTCAGTCATTAAATTCGTTATCTTCTAATCTCTCTACCCCCACCTCTCCATGAGGACAGTGAGTATTCCAGTATGCAAGTTAATGGCTTCAAGGTGTCCTTCTCACAGCAACATCTTACAGTTTTGTATTCATACAAAATGCCTCAGCAGTAGCTTAGAG